ACTCCCGCCCGGGCCCCCTCCCCTCCCCATCTTGCCCCCAGTCAAGCCAGTCTCCTCCTCCACCTGGCTCTCCCGCTCTTCCTTCCTTCCCTCCTCCCTCCCTCCCGCCAGCTGTGCCCCTGGAAAATAAGCTGCAGAATGTTAATTTATGGATCAGGGAGGGGTCGCGGGGGGGACCACTTGGTTTCATTCCCCACTAGGGCCCAGCCTGGTCTATTCTCTTTCCCTAAAGCTGACAGCTGCTTCCCCCGGCCTCCCTTTCCCTACTCCCCCCCGCCCTCTCTGGAAGCCAGGCCTGCTGGAAACAACCCCCCCCCCAAATCCCTCCCTCGCCCCTTAAAGGGATCCTCTCGGGCTCACGTTGGGGGCTCGGATCTACTCATCCAAAACCTCACCCCGCCCTTTGCAGGCGGCGGCGGCGGCGGTCGCCAGCTGCAGACCGAGCGTGCCATTTATTTTTTTTATTTTTTTGCAAGTTCCCAAATGAGTCGGATCGGATGCAAAAGGGAAGGCCGGGGCCGGGCAGAAGCCCCCCCCCCTGCGCTGGGCTTTGTGTGTGAAAAAGGCCCGGCAACGAGGGCGCGCATCTCCCGACCCGAGAAAGGCGTGCAGGCGCACCGGTGGGAGATCCTGAACGGAGAGGGAAGGCGCCGCCGCCCGGGAGAACCCCCGTCCAGCTCCGGGAGGCTAAAAATAAGCCTCTCGACCGGGGGAGGGGGGGGACCCAAGGAGGGGGAGCCGAGAGAGAGAAGGGGCAGCCAGGGAGGGAGACTCCGCTCATCGTCCCTGGTTTGAGGCCCACCAAGCCTCACATCCTCAGCTTTTTAAATCCTTTGCTCTATCTATCTATCTATCTATCTATCTATCTATCTATCTATCTATCTATCTATCTATCTATCTATCTATCTATCTATCTATCTATCTATCTATCTATCTATCTATCTATCTATCTATCTATCCCTATACGGCCATGATCCTAGGAGGAGACCCGCTCAGCCGACGGACCTTCCCTTCCCAGGTGAACACACGCGTCCACGGATCTTGAAGACCCACAAGGAACCGGAGGGATTGTCCGCCAAGGGGGTCGGCCAGGAGAGGAGGCGATCTCTGTGACAGCCGGGTCTCCCCCCNCCCGCCGCGCCGGGACACAAAAAAAGGGGGGGGTCGTCAACTAGCATCCCGTGTGAGCTGGGGGGGGAGAGAGAGAAGCAGGAGAGAGAAAACAAGCGGACCCGCGATCCCAGACTCAACCGATTTCGCTTCCACCTCCAGGCAAAAAGCACAGCACCACGTATAACAGGAGTCGCCGGCAGGGTGGATTTGTCGGGGGAAATGCAGATGTGGATATATGGGTCTCTCGCTCTCTGAGAAAGCTGGTCTTTGACTGCCATCCTTACGTGTGTGTGTGTGCGTGTGTGTGCGTGTAAACTGCAGCAAGAGGCCAGGGCGCTCTCACAGGCATCGAAATAACAAGCCAACCCCGTGTCTTCCCTTCGCTGCACCGCCAGCATCCATGCGTTGCTACTTCCGCCAGTGGCGAGACAAGACTCCCTCCTTGGCTTTCCATGGGTGTGCAATTGTGTATGTGTGTGTGTTTTTCCCCCCACAACCCTCTCTCCCTTCAGGAGTTAAGCTGCTCTAGGATCGCTGCGTCTACATTTCCCAAACCCGAGACCAACCCAGGATGGAGAGCAGAAGGGGTGGATGGGGGGGACCGAGGATGCTTCAAAAGAACAGACGGGAGCCCTCTGCCAGGGGCGGGCGAGCGGGCGACCCACCCACTCCCGACTAGCCAGGCCATGCATTGTCTGAGATGAGTGTTTTCCTTTCCTTCCTGGCGGTAGGAAAGGAAGGTGAGTCTGGGAGAAGTCGTCCGCAGAAGGACGAAAGGCAGCCCCAGCCCTTGGCTGGGGGTGGCAGGCGGCTGGCAGCAAAAGAGCACAGGCCCTCCTCTGTGAAACAACAGCCAAAAAAAAAAGAGGGGGGGAGGGAGGGAGGAAAAGATGGAAGGGAAAGGAGGGGAATGATATATGCTCATTACCTGCTGTTTGTCCTGTCATACTGCAGCCTGACGGTCCACGCCTTAAGCTCTGGTGCAACCATCCAAAGCAAAATCTCCTCTACAGGGGGAAAAAGAAAAAAAATAAACTGGGATGGGGGAGAAATGCAGACTCCTGGGTTAGTCCATGAAAAGGCTTTGCATTCTCCCTATAGAGCAGCTTCTGACCTCCAATCCTAACATTAGTAGCCTGGATGCTTGCCTGCCTGAGTGCTGTTCCCTAGCCTGTGTCGTCACCAGGATCCTGCCGACCTGATTGGCTGCGGGGAAGCAGATAATAATACTACTAATAGCCCTGGCAAGGCTGGGAGGGAGAAGCCTTATGTTTCAAAGAGCAGCAGCTGCAGGAATGGGAGGGCGGGAGGGCGAGTTGAGGAACTTGCATTCAGAGACCGCTTCCTATATATATATAGGATCTTCTTGGAACCTTCACAACTTAATGATTTGGCTTGAAATAGAAATTATGGGGGGGGGGTCAACAAGCCCTTGTAAATAATCTCAGTCAGTGTCTTGCTATTATGTGTGATCACATGGTGGTGAGGAAGGAAGGAAGCTGTATGCATAATATTTTTTTGCCATTTTCCAAATATAATCTTAGAACTGCACAGCAGGAAGGGACCCTATGGGTCATCTAGTCTAGCCCCTGTCCAGGAGGCCCAGTGGGGGGAATCTAACTCCCAACTTCTGGCTCGGCAGCCAGAGATCTAGCCCCTCAAGCTACTCATGGCAGAGATACCATCAATTACACTGCAGTCTGATACAGACAACGTTTCTTCAAATGCCATACACTTCTCTGTGGCCTTGATAGGCTCCTCTGTTGTTTAAAACTCTCAAGACTGCACACGTAACAATTTTCCTTTCAAATAAACAGATAAACATCAAGGATAATAGCCATGTGCTAAACAGGTACATCAGAGATACAATGTGTATCAGACAATATTATGATGTCGAATATAAGATACAGAATCTCTGTTTTCAAATGACACCCACTGAAGTCATCTGAGGTCTGGATACAGCAGCTCCACAGACTGACGTATTGGGATACACTGAGTATTTTTTTAATTCTAAATAAAAAAACATTATGTTTTTACAAGAACAGCAGCTTTTCCTTCTATATATGAATGGAAAGTCTGTGTTTGTGTTATTTCACAAAAGTTTCTAACATATAGGGGTAGCCTGGGTAGCCTTGGGCCAGCTGCACAGTCCCAAGGTTGCCCCTAGAGGAAGGGAATGGTAAAGCACTTCTGAATATTCTCTGCCTGGAAAACCCTGAAAAGGGTCACCTGAAGTCAGAGATGGCTGGATAACTCAGTTTAGGTCTCTGGTTGTGGAGCCAGAAGTTGGGGTTCAAGTCCCGGGTGTGCCTTTTTGACAAGACCTGGACTCGATGATGCCTAGGGTCCCTTCCAGCTCTGTAGTCTAAGATGATGATGGTGGTGAATAGATTTATCAGTCGATTAAATACATAAATTAATCAAAAGTCAGGGAGATGGATTTAATTTTCAGAAAAGAAAAGGGAAAACATTCTGCGAAATCTAGAGCTTGCATCCTACATTTATTTATTTAAAATATTTATATCCTGCCTTTCCCCTAAAAATGACCCAAGGCAGCTTAACAAGAACGGCTCTGTGCCGCCAAGCCAACTCACCTAAATACAGCTTTGAAGTTCCTCCTTGATCGATAGCCAAGAGTTCTGTCCATCAGGTTTATCTTCTTAAGCAGGACCCAGTGCAAGGCAACTGCTATCAGAATCCGGCCAAACCTGGTTGGCCACAAGATTCCTACCTTCTACCCACAAGGTAGACAGTGAGTTGTATCAGCTGAGAAATTGGCCTCTGTCCGGGAGGGGAACAAAGCCAAGTTTTGTTTTTATTCTTCTCGGTTGTGTCACAGTTGTGTTACGGGTACCTAAATTGTGTTCATGTGACATGAGCGCTTGTCGCTACACCTCCGCAAAACAGATCACTTAAATCTGAATCCCGACCTCAGAGGTTTAAAAGGACACATGGCTTGAAACCCTCCCCAACCCGGCAGATGTTTCAAGATTTTTAGGGGTGCTGAGGGTTCGACATCGGTAATAAAGGCACCTCAAGTTATGTTGTGGTCTGGGGTTAAATAGAAAAAGTGTGTGGTGCTCTAAGGTTTGATTCCCTGTAGGTTGGAATGCTTTAATCCTGTTGTGATGCAGGAATCATCATGTGAGCGACTTCTTGGACAAAGGGAACATAAAAATCAAATCTGTTCCTCCGCCTCCATCATCTTCATCTTAGAAGTGTGGATCTGGGAGGCACTGTGGGGAATCGAACTGCCAGCCTCTGGCTCCGCAGGCAGAGATCAAAACTACTGACTTATCCAGCCTTAATAATCAAGTGCCTTCAAATCTATTCTGACTTATGATGACCCTTTCCAGGATTTTCTTCATGGACAATACTCAGAAGTGCTTTACCCTTCCCTTCCTCTAGGGGCAACCTTGAGACTCTGTGCAGCTGGCCCAAGGCTACCCAGGCTGGCCTTTCTTCCAGGAGGCACCGTGTGTGTGGGGGGGGGGAATCGAACTCCCAACTTCTGGCTCCGCAGCCAGAGACCGCAACCACGGAGTTGCTCCTGCTCTCCTCCTTACCAGCCGCTGAGCATCATCCTGCTGCATGGACTTTGGAGAGGCAAGTCTAAGCAATGAGTGGATGATGAGCCATCCAAACCCAGTCCCCCCCCATGCTTCTGCAACCAGGATCAATCAACCCATCATCCCCCACTCTCGTTGCTGGGTTGTGTCATTGCGGTGGCGTCTTCCATCCAAGTGACCACATCTTGCTTCAATGGGTCACAGGAGAGGTCTCAAAATAGCAAACTGGTAGGAAGTGTTTTTTTCTTCCCCCCCCCTTTAAAAAAAAAAGATGATGATTTAAATCTTTTTTTAAGGGTGCAGGAGGGACACCTAACACTCAGCAGTAAAGTTTTTGGACTGGTTGGAACTATGATGTCATGGTTTCCGAGCCGGGCCCTGATTGGCCCACACGGCGGGAGCATCTGCTGAGAGCCGGAGCGAAGGGGCTGGTGCGTCGCCGGAGGTTCAGACCTTTCCAAGCCGCTTTGAATCAGGGCTGGTTGTCCTGACAACCCCGGGTAGTGTCAGCGGCGGCGGCTCCTCCTGGTCGCTGGAGAAGGAGGCGGCCGTGCCCTCGCACCCACCCACCCATCAGGGTGAAGCCCTTCCATCAGAAGGGCTTCAGGCACCCTGCGTTTCGGCTCTGCAGTGTCTAACCTGATGAGGAGACCTGTGGGACCCCAAAGCTGACCAGCTTGGGAAAAATTCCACGGTGCAATTTTTTAAAAAATGACCCTTCCTAGGCTTTTACTGCTGTTTTTATTGTTTTGCTTTTGTTCCCTTGCTTTATTTTGCCCAAGGACCACGTGGGCTTCCTTCCCGTCACCCTTTTCCTTCCAGACTGTGTCTGCACTGCAAGCGCATCCCCAGGAAACGACCAAAAAAAAAAAGAAAAAGGGAGACGAAGCCTTTGTTTCTCACTGCAATGCCCAGCCTGATGAAGACACCTGTAGGACTCGAAAGCTGACCAGCTTGGGAAAAAACCATTGGTGCAATTTAAAAAAAAAAGATGACCTTTCCTTGGTTTTTATTGCTGTTTTGAATGCATGCTTTGCTTAGGGTTCCTTGCTTTGCTTTACATGGCTTTCGATTGATCCCCCTTTTCCTCCCATATTATTATGCCTTGCTCTGTAAGTGCATCCCCAGGAAAACGAGGGAGGGGAGGAGGGAGAGCCTTTGTTTCTCACTGCTGAGTCCCAAGCATCCTCCTCCCCTCCCTGCTGCTGCTGTGTAGAATTAGGAAACACCTAACGACTGATAACTATGGAAACCAGCCTCAGATGTTTGACAGCTGTGCATGCGTGGTAGGGCACATTCAGCTGAGGGAGCCGTCTGGCATTTGAAGGACCTGGTTGGGAGGGGGACGAGGGGGAGAGGCAGATGAGGATGCCTGCAGAACCGAGGCAAGTGGGCTACGATCCCCTTTGCCCTCACACATCCACAAACACACACACACACACCACGCCTTCCATGTGGCCCACACACACACACACACACACACCACGCCTTCCGTGTGGCCACTAAGAACTTATGCAGGAAGGCTTTGCTTCCTAGTGACCTGGGCGGGAAAGGGTGCTCTGAAAACCTGGGATGTATCTGATGCCATAACTGACCATCCACCAAAGAGGGAAGGATTCCTCCCCACACCTGTCTCCCAAATTTAGGAGTATATCGAGGTATTTCAGATATTTTACCAGTGCCTCCACCACTGAGCAAGTTTCCATGGCTAAGCAGGGATTTGAACCTGGGTCTCCCAAATCTTAGTCCATCACTCTATACCGCACGGGGTGCCGATACCATCTGCTCAATGGCTCTGATGTCACAGGGCAGTGAATTTGCTCCCAGTTTTAATCCAACCTTTAGAACAGAGATCCAAATGCCAAACCTATTCAAGAAGTAGTCTTTCAGCACCTCGGAGAGCGCCAGTAAAAGTTCAGGATGACTCTGAGAACAGATTTACACTGGAGTCAACAGCCTTCAGCTATCATTTATCTACTTACCTACCTGCCTACTTATCATCTATTCCAGGTTCAGGTTCACTTTATGTCTCTCTAGTCCTCAAAACACTTCAAAATAAAAATAAAAACCCAGAGACAGCTGCTTGACTATACAAACAAGTACCATCTAAACAAATGCCCAGATTGTGGAAAATTTTGGGTTTTTGGGCTACACCTTCCAATCCCCATTCCATAGTTGCTAGAAGTTCCACAGGCTTTCACCCCCAAAAATAACATGTCCACCCTCAGCAAATGCCAACGGTTGCACAATACCAAAAGCAGTTTAGAAGAAATCACCCAAACACAGTCGAGCATTCTTATTTAAACATTTTTCTTCTACTAACGGAACAACATTTTCCTATCACAAGCATAACCATGTGTACATAAAAGGAGCTAAGTCCAGAAGCCAGGGGGTGGAGAGAACTGAGGCAGTGATCCCCAGCCAAGGGTGTTATGACCTTTCTACCTGTTCAACTATGCAGTGATTGGCAGCTACGGAATACCCCCAGACAATTCAACTTTGAAATGCTCAGTGAGTAAGTGCAAGGATGCCACGAGGTGAAATTTTCATATTGATCTGTGCTGTGGTCTTGGCTAAGTCACCATGCTTT